GGTGAGAATAGTCGCACTCTAGTACATATTATATATTTGTTTATATATTCATTATAATAATAATTATTACTTGAAAATTATATTACTTGAATAATATTACTTGAATAATTATTACTCGTACAGTCGTACTGACGGAAGATGAACTGCATCTTCCGCATAGCATTCCGACCGTACTAAATGACCATTCAAACTCATCAGGGCCCGTCACCGCTATAAATTCAAAAAACTTTCATCTTTTGTGTCAAGATAGAGTAACATTAGAGAAAACGTACAGAAATTTTTATTATTACCGAAGTTTGCTTTTTTTTCGTAATTTCGGTGTGGTCATTTTTCGGGAAAGATTTTTTGGGAAGGATTTCTAATAAATGCGCGTGCTTAATAGACAACCGTTTTGCACATGCTTTATCGATCTTCTTTCCCTATTTCTACTTCTCTGGAGAAAATTTGTGTACATACTATTACGTAGTACATGCAGTACAGTATGTACGAGTAGTATTGTAATACTTGCTTCAGTGTGAAAAAGCTATAGTAGGCACTTTTTATTTACACAAATGATAACTTCGAAAAATTAAATTATAATAATAATTAATAATAATTCACAATAATAATAGGAATTAATAATAATAGTACCATTAATAATAATAATAGTAGTACCATTAATAATAGTAGTTCCTATAGTAGTACATATGGTAATACAGTGAGCACTAAATCTGTAGATAATGGAAATGCTCTAAATCATTAAAAATAAAACGATAATTATATTAATTCACACATTTGATAAGTTTAACGTTATAATCACTTTTCTAATATTTTTTGTGTACTAAAGCACCGGTGGCACTACAGATAGTATCACTTTTGGACTGGCAGCGCTGGTAGCCGTTTCGTTTTTCAGCTTTCTCATCTCCCGCACGAAAGCGGTAGCTTTTTCCGCACAATGTACAAAAATTCTGATTTAATACCACTAAAAGGTCATGTGTATCAAAACGTTTCTAGAGATTTACTGTCTTCCCACCCGTAGATGGGGCATAAGATTCATCCTACGGCAAAGATCATCGATTGTAATCTGTATTTCAAATCGAGCAGAAATCGTGTGATACATGTTGCAAAACAAAGATATGTGGCTTTGAGTTCGCGAAAAATAAAGAATGCCAATTATTGGTTGAAGTCTTAAAATTCATGCAGATATAATAATTCATGTTGTAAAGACCACCTAATGCAATGATTTTATTAGCAATTGTTATACTGTTTGCAATTATCTGTGTTGTACTTACTACACCCAACATTATAATATTTGTAGCTTGTCGTTAGTGACTTCCGAGTTAGTACTTAGCAGTTAGCAGTCCAGGGGCCCTCTTAAAGGACAGCCCACAAGAATCTTAATTAATTTTCTCTTTTATTGCTGTACTTGAACTTTGATTGTGACGTGACATAAATAGGCAGAGCTGTCACACTGTCGCCGAAATTCGACCAAAAAAGAAAAATGAATTAAAAAATAAAATTAAAATGAACTAAAATTAATATTTTGGTAGTGACGTAGCTTAAGTGGGCGGGGCTGTCACACTGTCACCGAAATTCGACCATGAAAGGAAAATAATTAAAACTAAGATTTAAAAATTATAATTAAAAAATAATATTAAAAAATAAAATCTTGGTAGTGACGTAACGTAAGTAGGCGGGGCTGTCACACTGTCACCGAAATTCGACTATGGAAGAAAAATGAATTAAAAATAATATTAAAAAATAAAATCTTTGTAGTGACGTATCGTAAGTAGGCGGGGCTGTCACACTGTCACCGAAATTCGACCATGAGAGGAAAATAATTTAAAAATTAAAATTTCAAAAGTAAGAACATTATTAATTAATTTGATAATACCTGATTTAATAAATAAAAAATAAATAAAGAAAAGTAAGATAATGTTTAATACTAATTCAGTAGTATTTAATATTTATTTACTAGTAATTCTTTAATAATTTAAAATTAAAAAATCCAATTCCGTTATAAGGTTTTCCATTTACAATAAAAACATTTGCCCCGAGCCTTGAGCATTTTCTTGTGATCTATTTCATACGAAACTTACGCTCGGACATTAATAATAATTAACGAAAGCTCTACGCGTCCAGAATTTGTCAACAAAAGTTGTTATTCTACTGCATCTAGCATCTAGCACACAATAACACAAAAAATGTGACTGTTGTAACGTGGGGCCTTATGGGCGCCCACGTACCTTCGACGGCGAAACAGCGGCGAACCCGGATTGAGGCTTTAATGCCGAAATCTAAGGTGCGCACCGTGGCGCAGCAAACACCGACTAATGAGATCGGATCCTACAGCCAGCGCAGCTGTGCTGTAGGTCCGTCAAAACAGCAGCAATGTGTGGGATGGAAATCCCCAGAACAGCAAAACACAATGGCGAATGGCCAATCATGAAGGCGGAGCTATCGGCCTTCACACTGTAAACTGTAAACAAACAGCGACAATAAAATTACTGGTAAAGTGTAAACACAAAAAATTCCTTTATTATGTAATTAATATATATACAGGTAGTTGCTCGATGTTTTCACTATGATATGAATGTTACAGCAACGAAGTAGATACTGCAGCAAACAAAGCACGAAGTAACGGAGCAAATGATACGTGCGCATCACGTAAGTATTACGGTGTGGGCAACAGATGCTACGGTGTGGGCACTACTGCGCACTGCGCAGCAGTAGTGCCGCAGATACAAGCGGGCTGCTGGTATTAATTGACAGTTGCTATTGTAGGGAGAAGACAGGGGTACGAAGTAAGTACTACAACGGAGAAGGCTTTTTGCGGCTCTCGGCTTCCATAACCTGCGCAGCGATGACGACTGTTCGTTTCTCAGTTAGCTTACTGCCCACAGGTGCAGGTAGCAGCATTTGGCTGTTCAACGGTACTGTGGTGTACTTACGAATTCTCGTGATTTCTGGCACTGTTGTACTTAGTACAAAATTGTTAACATCCTAACAACTTCCTGTTGTTATAGTTTGTACTGCTACTACTACCTACGAATGTGCCTATTTCTTCTTCAGTTATCCTGCTGCGCAGCTTACAATCATTTTTATACGAGTACTAGAGTAGGTATAATGATTGTACTAGTTATATGAATACTGATTATCTGTGCCTGGACTTCGGCCCCTGTCCTTTGAGGCAAAGGATCTCGGCTTCTACTTCACCAATTTTGTTGCTTTAAAGTACATCAAAATTCTCTAAATGTAGCGGTGGATCCAAGATTGTTGACTTTTTGCCAAAATCATTTGTTATATGAATACTGATTATATGAATATCCATATAATTGTTATTATTATACTAGTTATATGAATACTGATTATCTGTGCCTGGACTTCGGCCCCTGTCCTTTGAGGCAAAGGATCTCGGCTTCTACTTCACCAATTTTGTTGCTTTAAAGTACATCAAAATTCTCTAAATGTAGCGGTGGATCCAAGATTGTTGACTTTTTGCCAAAATCATTTGTCAAGGTCCAGTGGTCAATCATAAGCTTGTTACCATGGACGCGATAAGAAATGCACACTGTTCTAGCACAACTTAATAGTTTAATAGTTTCATCTCGGTAGCAGGTAACCCATTAACCTGCTGTGTTTTGCATACACAGCATGGGAATTTATACCTGGCCGAACACAACACACGAACAGTAGAAATATCTGAGCGCTACAGTACTTAACAATAAGTAAGAGTACAATACAAAGTAAAAAATTCATGTATAACTTAACACGTTAGTCATCATCACGTTAGTCGCATTGCAAGTTATGTACTGTATGTACAAGTAGACAGTCCGTGTTTCGATTAGGTAACTTATGTTAAGTGTATCATAATATAGATATTACTAAACATACGTACGGGTTCATTAATATTATCAATTATGACAGTCTGTAAGCGACCACAAAGCTACACATCCTTGGAATTACATATTTTTTAATAGTCATCGGCCAATATTCATCCGTGCTGGGCTTGTACTTACTACTGTTACTGTATTTGTTGTGTTCAGTATGCACGCCTTGTCAGCTGAGCGGGCTGCCAGCAATCTCCCATGTAGCAGGAGTTACGTGGAAGTCAGCTTGCGAAAATGTTTTTACTTTTTGCCTTTGGTCGTGGACTCGTGAACCGTTATAGTTATTCTTTACGTAGAGTACGTCTTACGATATATTGTTGAATGCTTATCATCTGTTCTTGTAATTCAGTTCACCTTTATCTTTCTGGTTTTCTTCGATAGACAGCACTTCCAGGGTCCTTATTTTCACCATTACATGCTGTTTCGCTCGGAGCTTATTGAACAGGATTGTGTCTGTGTTCACCAGTTCCCTGGCAGGCTACTACAGATTTGCGTTTCGCAACAGCAACCATGTCCCAAAGTTTCCCAGAGCCTTCCAACCGCAATAATCGTGGGGATGCTACAAAGGTGGCAAAGTGTTTGCGACAGGTGTTAGACTGTGGCGAAATGAGCGATGTTCAGTTCGCGGTGGGACGCCAGTATGGCGCAGTGAGGATCTTTCCAGCTCACAGGTGCTAAGTGCTAACTGTGCGTTGCGCATGTGATGGCGGATCTCCGTTCTGATTGATACCATAATTGATATTTGTATAGAGTCATCATGGGAGCCCGGAGCGACGTATTCCACACCATGTTCTATGGAAGTCTACCGGAGAAGTGCACGAACCCGGTTGATATTCCCGATATTCTTCCTGACGCCTTCGCTAATATGCTCAGGTAGGTTTAGTGTCCGATCTGCAGTGCTGTTTTCGGTTATACGGTCAATTTACATGACCCTATGTACTGGATACCCATCGAAATGAGTGAACTTTGTTACTGGTGTAGCTACATCTACACGGACACCGTGACGAAGCTGTGAGCGAGGAGAACGTATTCGACACACTCAACTGCGCCGATAAGTATGCCTTACCATCGCTGGTTCGCAAGTGCACCCGCTTTATCCTGAGCAATCTGAACACAGACAACTGCCTAGAAATGCTGGACAACGTATGTATCCTGGGCAGGTTGCTTAGTGTCTGTCGTATTCAGAATTTTTTTTGCTGGTGTGAATTCTTGCTTCTTTAGGCCGTTCGTTATAAATACACCCCGCCCATGGTGGAGGGTGAGGACGACGATATCATGGAGAAGTGTCTTGGTTTGATTGATGGATCGGCAGAAGGCGTTTGGCAGTCGGAAAAGTTCTCTGGTATCGGACAAGAGACGTTGCAGATTATCCTCCAACGAGAGACGTTGGCCGCCGATGAAGCTACCATCTATGCGTCGGTTGAAAAGTAAGGAGCACTGCCCGCACTGATAGTTCTCCAGATGCAACAGTACGGCAAAATCGGCCCCAAATTTTCACAAACGGCAAATATAACCAAACGTTAAAGTGGACCGCTAACAGGAACTAGCGTACGACACACTGTACGATTCCGGGTCACCTCAAGGCGATGTTTCGCAGTTTCTCGCCCTGAAGCCCTTTGTGAATTTAATCTTTTACCATCGGGTTTTGTTGGCAGGTGGGCTGCGAACGCCTGTAGTCAGAAGGATATGGAAGCTTCACCCGTCAATCGGCGTGAAATGCTGGGCGCGGCATTATATCGCGTCCGCTTTCCGGTCTTGACCGATACACAGCTGATGAATGGCCCTGCCCAGGTACTGAGCTTTTACACTGTTAACGGAGAAATATTGCTGGTTGTTACAAAAGTGTTGCGAAAATATTGCGAAAGTTCTTGGGTGGTTGCGTTCAGTATGTTGCTGATTTAAAGTTAATAATCATGTTAAAAGTGCTACTGAAAGTGGTACGAAGTTAAAAAAATTAGAGTGGTACGAATTTAAAAATTAATTATCATTCACATAAGAAAAAACGTCAAAAAGCTGTTGAGCTCCGGTCTACCAGTGAACGCTAACGTGCATTTTTCCTGGTACTATCAGAATACAGTAACTAGAGTACTATTTATTCGCCTGTTGTTAACCAGCTCTTTTAAGCGGAAGTGTCTGACCGGGCTATTGGAATATATTTTTGGATAAGTTAGGAACACTTATGTTTTTCTTACTTTTTTGTTATATTATGATTCTATGAGCTATTTTATGGCATATCGGGGGCGTTTCAGAGTGGGAGGCAACCGGCAAAGTTCTGGTATTTGTCTTTCTGTTCAAGATTTGAAAACAAAAGCAGATAGAGTTTACAAACAGTTTCAAAGACAGTAAAATAGTAGTTTCCGTGTATTTAGGGTATGATAACTCTATTAAAATAATGCAGTTATGAATTTGGCCAGACTGGTTTGCTGCTTCAATCGGAGCTGTTGGACATTTTCCGCTACAAACACGCCGATGTCAAACCGGCGCTGCCGTTCCGCACGGAGGCCCGACAAAGTGAGCACATTCGCGTATCGAATGGACACTGCCAAGACATTTTCTTAGTTATAAACATTTTCTTAATATTTGTAGATGAGCTGCGAGCTGAAGGTTTGGTCAATTTTACGGTGCCGGATGTCAGGAAACTGGAGCAAAGAGGAACGTTGAGCGATCCAATCGTAATCCGGAAGTTGCCTTGGTAAGCCGTTGTACTTTGTATGATGCTTAGAAGTTAGAACCAATAAACGTTATGAAGGGCCGTCGTCCTGTTGCAGGAGGGTTTTGGTTAAGAAGCACATCCTGGAAGGGTCTCCTCGGTGGGGTTATTTTGTGAAATGTGATGTTGATGCGGATTCCGATACTTGGACATGTGAAGTTAATGCAGAACTCCGCTTGCTACCATGGAAAGCGGAACTGGGACTTGTTACTAAACGTACAGATATGTTTTGCTGACTGCTGCTTATTTACAAAGAATAACCGCTAAAATGTTGATTTTTTCATGTTTCAGCGATATCCCACGTGTACTGCGAAGAAGAAATTGCCTGGGGATACTGGAATTTTATATCATTTACGGTAAGATTTGTCGGGTGGGGAAATTATGAAGCGTACGTTGTTAATGAACGTTTGGTGCTTAAGGACCTACTGGATCCGTCGAAAGGATACGTTAACCCTAGTGACTTCTCCCTGAAACTGCAAGTCAAGCTCACTGCGGCCCTTCCTGTCGGAATTGATTAAACAATCCCCTTGGGCTTGATGGTTGTAATTTGACTGATCATAATTTTATTAATTACTAATAATATTAATGTTGAATAAATATGTCAACGTCTTCATATGCCCTGGGTCTCCTTGCGTACCATTAAAAGTCTTTTTAATTTTTTTTCCAAGGGTTTTCAAACTGATCTCGTTTGTTACTGTGTTAGTGATTCCGACTAATAACTCCGGGTACCACGATCTTGTGCAATTGTACGACTGGGTTACGCTCTCATACTATCTGAGTACCGACAGGCTTTGAAAAGTTTCTACCAAATTTTATGCAGATTGTACAGCAAGGCTCATAATATTACAGCGGCACCGATGGGGTGTACAATTACTAGAGTAGTAATGCTAGTTTGTAAGCATAATACTAAAGCCAACTGTTTATTCGGCTAGCCAACCTGCGAACATTCGATGTAATGTAAAAGGTCTACTAACTACTGTCTAACTTTGAGTAATACCCCAAAGCGGTTCGGCGCGTTTTCGCCATTCAACCAGTGATCTAGTTGGTGTGGCGTGTGGAGATTCTGAGTTTTATACTGATATTGTTTTGTCTGACTGTCTTTAGTGTTCGGTAGATTTACGAATGTTACACGTTGTCTTTGTCATGCTATCATCGTACTTCACTGTACTTGTGCTGTTGGGGTTTCTAGGATGTCATTAAATACTGGCTAACAAGCATGTAGTCATATACAAAGCATCCTCCGCAGGCGCAAACCAGTCACCAGTGCAATAAACTATTGCGTTCCCCGCAAACCAAACTCGTATCAAACTTTCCGTTTTCCAGTACGGCGTGAAAATCGTACCACGCACGTCAGTGGTTCGGATCGTGGCAACAGCCAACAGGTACAAAAGACAGGCACCGATAGAATATTAATTCCAAGCTGTCATTTGTGGGGCGATGACGAAACTTCAGTTTCGAGTAGTTTACCGCCCATAGGTGCAGAATTGCAGATAACGTTTCGCTTGTCACCGAAACTGCAGTAAAGTATTATTA